TGGCCATATTCACTATCACAAAGCCTGCAGATATCGCGGCCGCAGTAACGACACTCCTCTTCATTCGTGACATCGCAACTGCCATGTCGATTGTCTTTGGAGGCGTGATCTTTCAAAACCGTATGTCACAGCAGTCCGGCAAGATCAATGCCGCGTTCCCGCCCGATTTAGCAGCACAGATCATCGGTGGGGAGGCATCGAGTGCGCTTACCTTAATCCCAACCTTGCCCGATGGCCAGAGACGCGTTATCAATGAGGTGTATACTTCGAGTATCCGCACTGAATGGATATTTTACACTGCACTTGCTGGTGTAGCACTGCTCTTGAGCCTGTTAATCAGTAAGCAGGTGCTCTCTAAAGAGCACAAGCTTCACAAGACAGGACTCGATACCATGGAGCAAAATCGACTGGAGGAAGAAGAGAAGAAGGATTTGAAGTACGAGAATGGGCAAGGCCATGTCTAAAGTCTTCCTCGATCTTCTAGCCCAAGTTATGTACGATACTTTGGGAGCTCTGGTTTCATAGACTGTTCGGTGAATACACTCACTGTTCAATGGCATTGTATGGCATTGGAACACACGATATTTCGCGGCTGTTTACATAATGTTTTAATCAAAACTACTGATCGAACGTATGATCGCAAGTAGCACTTTTCAAGTAAATTTGTCTCTGATGGATTACATTACTTTCGGTTGTTCTCAACTACTAAGAGACACTCTCCCGAGTTATATCAACTCACAACTGTGTCCGAGAACATATTCGCCCGCGGCATTCTAAACAAAAAACATATATCCTAGCTGCATTTTATTTCCACCTTTCTTTCATTCCAGCAATTGATCGCCGAACCCGATACAATCATCGGCGTTCGGCGACAAAATTCCGGCTCGGCGTGGGCACAAACCGGGCATGTAGAAGATGAGGTTAGTGCACGACACCACCTAATTATTGCTTATATACCGCTTCTAATAATCGAAATATGTTTGGTCCCAATCAATACGATTCGCCCATGAGTCTATACAAGAGGGCCTCTTATCATTGCTTAAAAGAAAGACATCGTCCTCTTTCACTGCTGGTCTCCTCATCAGATTGAGAATTTCCATCTTCCAACACGACAAAATGCACACCTTCTTCAAGTCAGCCTTCTTCAACTTCGAGTTCCTGCTACTCCTTGGCATGGCTCCTTTCGAAGGCGGCGAGATCGCAGAAATCCTCGAAGCAGTCAGCAAAATCAAGGACCTGGATCCCGAGAGCTGGTACGACGCCTGGAGCGAAGCCGCCACAAAGGCCGAGCTTACCCGCGAGGGAGAAGATTCAAGGGACCCAGTGGCTGCCCGTCGCGGGTATCTGCGCGCAACTCGATATCTTCAATCGGCCATGTTTATGCTTAATGAGGGTCCTATCGGTTAAGACAAGCGTGTTTTGCCGACCATTGAGCGCTCAATTCGTGACTTTCGGAAGGGTGTCCAGCTTTTAGATGGTCCGGTTCACTTCCTCGAAATCGACTACGAAGATGGCGTGAAATTACCGGGCTATTTGAGCCTGCGCGGGAGGTATTACGGAAGGAGTTTGCAATGCCATCGGAGCAGATTCTTCTCGTGGAGATGTTCTTTACTTGGCCCACCACCGATTCATTAGAGGACGAGTGGACACGGCGCAATAAAGCTATTGCTGCTGGAATACAATATTGCGGCTTTTAGGAGGGTGGGCCCCTTCGGGGACGACGGAAGCGCTCTACGCCGTCCGATAATGATGATGCAGTTCCCTCTCCGCCAGCTCGAAAGATAAAGACCGATACGCCGCCGACTACGTCGTGGGAGAAGGGACGTAGCTCTGGCGGGAAACACATACCGAATGTAGAGCAAACATTCGCATGCTTCTAATGTCCTAAGACATACTCCGACTATAATAGAGTGAAGAGGCATTTCAGGATATCACATTTGACGGACCGGAAATATAATTTTTGCGATTTGTCCGTCCTACACGAGATGCACTTACGGAGGCATGCCGAAGGTGTCCATAGCCTTCGAATATGAGCGTCAGATTCTACTTTTCCGATCTTCGAGGCCCTTACGCCATTTCTTTGTTTCTCTATTGGAGACAATTGGCGGAGCCATGGTTGGGTTGATGACTATTTCATTAAAGCGTACCTTATCTGTCGCGATTATTTAGAGCTACCGGAACAGAATTCCATCGTAGTCGTTTCGACGTTTTGCTCCTATTCTCCATCAACTAGGTGGAACGACAGTTGTGCGGCTTTCAGAGACCTTGATCATGAAGGGTGGTGGGAGTGTCATGGCTAGTGAAGCGGAAATGCTCCGTCTTATTGCTTCCAGAACCACCATTCGAGCCCCAAGAGTCTATCGCTCATTTCAGGTCAAAGATGATACACAATATTTTGGTACAACTGGGTATATTGTGATGGATTTTATCCCAGGTCAACCGCTGGATGAGTGCTGGAACGGCCTATCCCGTGACACCCAAGGGAAAATCGCTGCGCAGGTTGCTGAAATGATCCAAGAGATGCAGTCTATTGAGCTTTTGCAGCCTGGCCCCACTGGTGGAGGACCATGTCGGGGTCCGTTCTTCACAGATTATAGTGCTGGGCCGTTTACGGACACTGCTGAAATGGAAGCTTGGTTTAACCACAAGCTCGATATCTGCAAGAGCGTCCATCAAGCCCCAAAAGACATCCCTCTATTCCATTTGACCAAGTTTGTTCTTACACACCACGACATCAGTCCTCGAAACCTGATCTTAGATCAAGATGAACAAGTGTGGTTGATTGACTGGGCTTATTCCGGTGCATATCCTCCTGCCTTTGAAAGCGCGGCATTGGCAATCCAGCCATTCTTCACTGATTTCACTGAAGCGGTGTTATCCCTTATTCCACGCTACCCGGAGGAGGAAAGGCAACTTGATTCAATTGCATATGGATTAACCACCGCGGCATTGGCCTAAGGGAGGCTTAAACGGAATCGGACGACACCCGTCGCGGCGTACCATATTATCCCACCAGGTCAGAAATAGCTGGTTGAAGGAAATTCCGTTGGACAACAATGACATTAAAAAATTTCTCAATGCTAAAATTCCTCTTATTCGTTCGCTTCTACTTGTCCATGCTCTTCGCATGCTCTATACCTTCTGCTTATCTCCAAAGGGGAGGAGGAAAATAGTATTTGCCTCGTAGGAGAAATTACTCTCAACATGCATGAAGCACATAGGGGAAATGTCCACCCAACCTACCACGACAGACAACTGAAATCCCAACAAAATAGTGGCGCCCGCGCTCCGGCACTTGCAGATGCAAAAAGGAAAGACTGATTTTGGCATTTCTTATTTTAGAATGCGCCACAATGGCAGCGCGAGAGCGGGGCACCGGCGTCGCGCCCACGATAGGCGTCAGCGTAGGATTATTTAACTGCTGGCCCCAGGCAGTCATAATCGTATGCCGTGATGAGATGATAATAAGGAATGCAACTCTCAGTATTCTCAACAATCCCCCATAGCCTCGATTTTCTTCCGTGCTAATCATGTTTGAAAGGAGGTCAATACCAGAATCATACGCATCGTTAGCTTAGTAGGCTGGTCGAGCGGACGAGGCTGGATGTTGTTGATTGGTTTAGCTAGCCGCTGGACCCACTGTGATGCCTGGACGACAGTATCGAGCCTTTCACCTCGTCCCATCACACAAGTGACGGGCGCTTATGATCGACCCGATTGGATCAGGTTCACTCCCATTATTTGCTGTGTGTACATACTGAAAAAAGCAGGTAAGTTATCAAATCCAGAAAGACCGCTTCTCAATAATGTAAAAAGGGAAACATTAAATAGCCTGTTGATATTATGAACCTAGACATGCTCACTACTCTTCGGCGTCGGGGTACAAGTGGGCCCACGCCAGTAGCTGCTTCTCCACCGTCTTCCAATCAATATCAGTGCTCTCGAAACGCTTGGTAAGATCTCGTTGGGAAAGGTCCTTTACAGATACGACAATAGTAGTATCGTCTGGTCTCACACGTCGGCCACGGGCTATTTTCCGACGCAAAAGACTCGCGGCTTTCTCATTTATATTTTCCCAGTAAGAACTGGGTGGCAGAGCCAAGTTTTGTTCCGTGTCCTTTGTCACAACCCGGTTGTTTAGAGTAACCCTCCACTCGATTTGGTAGTGAATACAGTTTGTAGATTGTCCATCCCACGTTCCTCCGTCTTCATGTTCAACTACTGGTTAGGCTCGATGAGGAGCTGTTCGAGTCGATAAGCATTCTCAATAATGACCTGTCGAGCCTCTTGGATCTCGGCAGGTGCAAAGGATGGCAATTTATCGAGGTGATTGAGCGTTATATCGTCAGAGGAAGGGTGTGGATGGCCTGTGGAGACACAGAAGGCTGCGATTACTTTGGCCGAAGGACTAATTTGGTCAGCTAAGACCTCAAGGGCAGAAGATTGTGGTGAGCTCGTCGAGGCTTCAGTCGTGTTATTCTGGAATGTATCCAGAGTATGCCTGAGTAATTATTGGAGAGAAGTGGAAATAATCCTCGTCAGATTGTTCCTCTGTGACATCCGAAAGTGCCTTTTCGGTCCCCGAAGATACCATGTGAGAGGTTCATTTCGACACACAATGGAGAGGTAACTAGGAAATGCAATTAGAATAAGTTGAATAAGGTGAAAAGTTTTGAAAAGAATAGATTACTCAGGTTCATCTTCTGTAGACGCAAGCCAGAATAGTTTATGCCTCTACGACTGTTCTCTAGGGCTTCTTGTGAAGCTTACCACGCCCGGCCTTCTTTACTCTTTTTTTCTCTTCGATTTCTGTAATTTGTGTACTTTTCAGCAATAAGTGTCGGTTCAAAATACTTCTCCTGTTCTTGAGCCATTTTCTCACCACATTTGCCGCGCATGTCAAACGGGAACTCACTCGGACCTGGGAAGAAGGTGCTCCCAATGGCCAGAGTCGTCATATTATCAAGACTGACGGTTTCCCTCCCCTGAATGAATCTTTGATGAGGGTGACGATGTGGAGTATGATTTCTACTGATTCAATAGGGTTGAAGAAATGGTGAAGGCTGATAGCTCTGCAGATCGTCGTTCATAACAATATGCACGAGAATACCACCATCCATTGGCATGGGATTCTATAAGCCTGACTCTGTCGTCAAATATATTGCGCACCTATAGTACTAATAATGACTGAACAGGATACAAGATACCCCGTGGTCAGATAGAGTACCGGGTTTAAGTCAAGAGCCTATTAAGCCTGGCGAGAGCTATTTCTAGCCTTTCGTTGCGAATCCTCCCGGGCAATATTGGTCCATACTATATGTGCTTCCCTAAGGAAAACTTAAGACTAATCGAGCATCAGGTACCATTCCCACTCCCGAGCCACCTTGTTAGACGGTCTCTATGGGGCGCTATTTATTCGGTACGCTGCATGTCTTCAAGATTTTGCACCAAGGAAATGCTAACACACTCTAGACGGAAGCCAGGAACCCCAGGGCCGTGGTAAATGATCAGCGAAGACCCAGTTGAGATTCAAACCTCCCAGCCGTATTTTGGCTACAACGCCTGGCCAACACGCGAAGGAATCGTCTTCCTGGACAAATTCGATCTTCCACCCTGGCCGCCCAAGGTTCCTTTCACCGGCGATGGCGACGCAATGCACGTTCTGTTTCTAGGCAAAGCCAACTCGACCTGGGAATCTACTTTAAGTGGCTACTTTAAGTGGCAAGAAAAAGGACCCCTCCGACCGGTCGGCGTACCATCCTCTGTTGTACAGCGTCAACAGTCCCGAGGCCCGCGGCGACGATTTGATCATTCGCACTCAGAACGGTGCCTGGCAGGATATCGTCCTCCAGGTGGGCCACTCGCCCCTTTGGCCAGTTGACTTCTCACACGCCGTGCACAAGCATGCCAATAAGTTCTGGCGGCTGGGCTCTGGCGAGGGGATCTGGAACTATTCCTCCATCGGCGAGGCCATGGCTGATCACCCGGAGAACTTCAATCTGGTCAATCCACCCTACCGCGATACCTTCATCGCAGAGTTTACAGGAGCGATGTGGGTGGTCCTGCGGTATCAGGTAACTTCTCCGGGGGCCTGGCTGCTGCACTGTCACTTTGAGATGCATCTCGAAAACGGCATGGCCATGGCCATTCTGGATGGTGTAGACAAATGGCCCGAAGTGCCGGAAGAGTACACCCTAGACTCTCATGGATTCCGTGAGGAAGAGAAGAAGCCCGAGCTGCAAAGGGGTCTCTTCCAGGTCTTTGATCAACTCTTCTGGCAGGTGCCCGTGGCTGTTGGTGGGTGCGTTTTTTTTCATTTTGTATAGCTGTTTGGGCTATTGTCAGACTCAAGAGATGGAGAAAGGAGCGGCAACCGGTGAGGGTCGACTATAGTCCATTAAGATCTGGCTCTATGGTTAGTCGAGATGATAAAGACAGTCTGTGATGACTACATATATAGTAAGCGACAGATAATTAGGATGGGTCTTCTAGGGAATATATACCCGACTTTGATCCCCTAGGATGACCACGATTGATGAGAATCATATAGATTTTTCACTACTATTCCATCTTCATGTCCACACTAAGCTTTACATGGCTGATTAGCAATATCTTTAGGACAACTAGCCCGCCAGGTCCACGGGTGGGTCGACTCGGCCGTTCAAGTATCCGAAACTCTCGGGGTCCGTGGCTCGGGGTCCGCGGACCCCGAGAGTTTCGCGGTTCAGTATAAATATCATTTAGTGACTGTAGGCTACGTTCCGCTTTTCATTGCAACACCACTCCTATCCCATGAAGAAAACAGCACTTGTACACAATGATGGATCCAGCTCAGCTCGCCAATGCCGCAAACTCGGTTTCTCACAACTACTATCCACCTACGATACATCTACCCAAATATGTGGACAATGAAAGCTCTGCAGTTTCGATAATTATTCAATTCGGCTTCCTATGGGCAGCGGTAGTGGGAATGGCCTTTGTCGTCATTTGTCGTCTGCGACCGAATGCCAGTCAATCAGATAAGCTTGCTTTTGTTTGGATGTGCCTGAGTGAGTTCTAAATTCCCCCTTACGAAATGAGAACTTTTGGCATAAGCTTACCTATGTACAACAAATAAGCGGGATTCATCCATCTCTTTTTCGAAGCATACTTTGTCATAAACCATAAAACACTTGCAGGCTCCCAAGAACTATTCGGTCAGCTATGGAAGGAGTATTCTCTTTCGGACTCTCGTTATTTGACATCTGATGCGTTCCTAGTCTGCATGGAAGCTGTTACTGCAGTAGGCTACCTACCTTTAATTTAATATCGAATTTACCTTTTACTGACCACCTTGCTAGTTTTGTTGGGGCCCTCTTGCCTTTTGTATCGCATATTGCATTGCAGTGCAGCATCCTGCACGTTATGCTTTGCAGCTTGTGATTTCCGTGGGTCAGGTATATGGCGATGTCCTTTACTATGCAACGAGTTTGCTTGAAATCTCGTACTGTCGACCAGAAAGATATTACTTTTGGTTCTATTACTTCTTCTTCAATTTCATCTGGATGCTTGTTGGTTGTTGTACGTGTTTATTCTGCATCTATGGAATTTGAGTTGCTAACATTCTTTTTCCTTTTTAGATTACGCAAAGCAGAGCATCTCGGAGATAACTAAGGCTTTCGGGAAGCTTCAAGAATTTGGGCAGAAGGAACAGACAAACTTCAAAGCGGACACTGTTCTTAAGAAAGGGGACTAACGTGGGGGAAAATCAATTCGCTACTATTGTGGAAAGACCATGAGAACGAACACCCGATTCTTTCGAGCGTTGCGCAGAATGTTCTCTCTATCCCTGCGGGCCTTTCATGTACCAACGCATCGATTGAGTTGATGAGAGAAAACGTCACTGTACCATGATTGTACCTATATTAGCCTTTCATTGCCAATATACCTCAATGTAGGTCTCTTAAACACGACACAACAGACCACTGTTCAAATCGTAGTTCCACTCATCGCTTCCAACTCCACTCCAGACAAAAAGGCTGCCCTGCGGGTCATACTTGTGCTTGATCTCCAAAAGCCGGTCATAGTTATCTCCATAGAAGTCATGTTTCCAGTTGCTGCTGAAAGGATTGCCCTCATTCATATAAGAACCACTCTCAGGAGCCCATTTTTGCCAAACTGGTTCTAAAGCGGCGTTCAACCAGTCTGCTCCCGCCTTCAATGACTGGCTTGGATCACCGGTGGCATTTACTGAGACACCATATGCCATAGTGTGAGTGTATGCCGAACGCCAGGCGGGGTGCACACTTCCATGTCTTGACTTGGGAACATGAGCGGTTCCCTTTCCACCTTGTAGTCCAAACAACAGCATCGAGCCTCCATTAGGCTTGTTACTGACCATAATCTCTTGGAGATAGGTTACGAGGCGCTCTTTGGGGATATCGCAAAGCTCGCGTCTGCCCAGAAGACGGCTAGTCATCAGGCTGACGGCTCCAGCAGAGGCGCTGGCCATAGGATTTGGCTTTGTAGAGGACCAGTAGCTCTTCGAAGAAAGTGCTTGGATGTTAATGTTCACATGCTCGGAGTCAAATTGGGCAACCAATTTGTTTAGAGTATCATTCATCCTTTGGACAGTGATATTGAAGCCAGTCAAGCTGATAATAGCTGAGGAAATGTACGACTCTTCTTCCTGCCCAGGATAAGATATTGCCTTCTTCTCGGTCCGGACCATCACAGTCCCCGTGTACCCAATATCCATCAGGTCGGGTATGTGAGCCGCCACTTCAGCCAAAGCAGTCCAAGAGGCAATTTCGCTAGCATTCGAGTTTTGGCTGGGATAGAATGAGAATCCACCGGCCACAACGTTTTCAGGCACAGGATGTGTCCTCATAACGAATTCGGTCACTACCCCATACTGGCCTCCACCAGCACCACGAATCGCCCAGAAAATGTCCTGGTTTTGGATATCATTGGCAACAAGGCGTTCGCCCTCGGAAGTTATCATCGTGAGTTGATATACCTGGTCAGACGCAAGACCGTAGTGACTTGAAAGGAGGCCATGTCCTCCATTTTGAATCAGACCTCCTAGACCGACTGTGGCATCCTCACCACCCACGACTGTTCGATTCATCTTGTGCACGGCGGTATAGACTGAGCCCCAGTTGTTTCCACTCCCGCACACCACCACATCGGCAGTAGTATTGGTTCCGGGTAGCCGCCAGTTCGACTTCCTTTCGATATGCTTGAAATTATGGGTCCAGATAGAAAGTGCATAGGCGCCAGTGGAACTGTTAAGATTCAGTCAAAAAGGCATAATCGAACTAGTGCAGGGCAATAACATACCGGCCGCCCAGGTCATGTCCGGTCCCTTTCACGGTAATGCGAATGTTTCGGTCGGAAGCCCATTTCATTGCAGTAGCAATATGCTGCTCAGTTGTGGCATTCACAATGTACTGTGGCAAACCACCAATACTGCATCCCTTGTCCGTTGAGTATCCATCAACTCCAGGTGGCACGCACGAGTTGTTCGCATAGATGGAGTAATCGACGCTTTCGGGCCACATAGCATGGTATGCGGCATATGACCAATGATCTTTCACGGTCGGGCAGTTTCCGGGGGCTCCGAATGGATTGCCCGGGTAGCAGGGCGAAGCAGCGGGAGCCGTCCTTATGAGGGTGCCATGGATGGATTGATTCAGGGAATTCCACTCATTGATAGATGGCCATGTCGAGTCTCCGGGAGAAGCTTTACAATGTTGCGTGACACATGTTGCTGGGAGGGCGGCCAATGCCAGCAGATAAAAGACTTCTACGTGGAGAAAGGATAGCATCTTTTCGTGAGAGCTTCGGCTGTGTAGTGATGGAAAGCATATCCAACAGTGATAGTGAGCAGAAAGAATGGGCATTATATAAGTAGTACTGTTCACCAACGCTGCTCCGTGCATTGGATACGAATACGGACACGATGAAACGTTTACCCACAAACTAGTAATGACCGAAGATCTTCAAGCTCCATAAATGACATAGAACCAGTAAAGACCGAAGGTCCATTGGTAGAACCTACCAGGGCTCCAACTTAAGTAGGCAACAGTATGTTATCCCATTGTGGATTGGTGGAAAACTAGTATCACTCAGGGGATTCAAGCGACCGATCAGACTCATGGTTCACCTTAACTCTCTGAGCTTCGATGCTACAAGCTACCAAAAAGAGCCATTGAAGAAGGGACAGCTCATTCAAGGAACTATACAAAGCAATTAGGCTAGTGTTTGGGTGGGTGTAACGGTTCTAGATTAAGTTATTGATGAAACATCGGATCGCTACCCAATCGGGCAATGTTTGCGTACTCGTAAGCTTATCCTATCTCACCTGACCAGCTGCGCACGCTCATCTCCACGCACTTGTTCCCATGTTTCCCGATTAAGAATTCAGAAACAGATTTACGAGCCTATAGTATTCACTACTAGGAGCAAGTGATTTGGATACAATTCAGGGCTCCACTAGTTTCTAAATTTGGATTAACATTCCTGCTCCTTTTTGAATTGACAAATACCGACTTCAAGATCTCCGCCCGGTGGAAGTTGGTCTATACTCTTCCTTACAGTGCGTGAGGTCCTTCCCTTCTGGTTCACCTGCAACATGCTACGCGATATCGGGGTTGAAGTTCCCCTTTCGCGATTGAGGAAGGCGTCGGATTTAAGACATATGGCCGTGCCGTGTTGATTGAGAGGCAGCACGGCGAACAACAGCCCAGTATTTGAGGGACGAGAAAATAATATTTTCTAGTTGTTGAAAGCACATCTTCAGAGAGTATGGAGTGGACTATCACCGAGGATTGGATTTCTGTCGTGGCGACCCGTCATACAGCAAAATCAATAAGACATATCAAACTTTTTTTTTTACCGTTTCAGCCTCAGCTCATGCCTTTTTCCTCATGCGATTTCCTTCCCCACGCTCTTTCTCCCCTGGTCTCACAAATCCTCTCGGGTTGATATATCTATCAATGTGCCGGTTATGTTTGTCGGGCGATTGGGCTGAGCTCTTGGCGAAGCTCCAAAATAATGGCAAACGCCGGACTGAATTTCTCCGCGCACTGATCGGTGATTGCCTGCGACTGTTGGACGACATAAAAACTCCACATCGAAGATATCACCCGCCTCTTATTCTGTCCATTCTCATCGTCTTGTCGGAGGTAAAAGCATTTTATCTTCATCGCCAAGGAGTGCTCGAGGTTCGGGATGAGGATAGTAGGTTATGACCCAGGTTTTCCAACATCACGGTTTTGACAGCCGTTGTAAGAATGCCAGGGAATGTACTCGTGATGATCTCCGGGAAAGTAGTGAATGGGCCGCCCCCTGGCTAGACGCTAACCGATCTACTGAGCGGCAAATGGACGAGCCAGACAGTCTCACCGAAAGCTGACCTAGCGCCTATACATTTTCTTTCAAAGACAGACTGGGATGGCAGCTTTGGACAAGATGCATATTTTGATCGTTGACCTGTGTGACTGATTCGACGCGAAATGCATCCGCTTAGAGCTTATCCTTGAAGAGGTAAACTGAGAGAAATGCGATTCGATCAGCGCTTCAACTCGACTTGAGAGTCAAGAGATCAGAGCAAAATACTAGGTATAAGCCGGATCGACAATGGATCATCCGCAGTTTCACACTGAAGGATGTCCTACTCGACGACGGGAATAGGAGGGTATTCGGACCCGTTTGGTTTGCGGCATTTATAGGCTGAGAGCTCCATATGGTTGCTGGACAAGCTGGACAATGACCGATGGAGCTCAGTGACGAGCAGTTACAAAAGTTAAAAGTGGAGATGTTGGGAAGTGGAGAGGACGTGTGGAGTAGCTGAGCCTCGCCGGTATCAACCTTATAGGGAAGGAGCGAACAGACTGGCCCATCCATCCCTACTTCTAAGCATAATATCAGCTTCCTCACCACCCCGCACCACGCAGCAGTTTACTTTTCTCCGAACAACAAGACCATCGTGATGCACCACCGTGGGTCCTGCAGGATAACCGGGGATCTCGCCGCGAAGCTACAACATCCGACCCCAATGAACAGTTTGGCAAGGAATACAGCATATTTTACCACCGGACCATAATAAAAACCAAGGTCCCTGTTTACGACCTAGGAGGCCCATATTTCAGTTTGACAATCAGTCCAACTCTCCAAGCACCGACCTGATCTGGTCGCTAACCCCAGGCTCTGTTAAGGGCCAGGCGAAGCCCTCTGGCGATTTTACCTTCCCACCCAACGCCTATCGACTTCAGCACGGCAAGTCAATGATCAAGCACGTCAACTGAAAATGACTCGCGGGTAGAAAATAACCTACCAGTGCGGTAAGAAAGGCTGTAAAGTAAAGAGGGACGATGATCGAGTAGAGCTTGAGACCCTTTGGATACTCAACAGCGGGGCCCATACCAGGCCCAAAGGGTTTCCCACCGCCTGGGGCCTCTGAGCCCCCTGGAGGACCTGGTTTGGCCTCAATTTTGGGTTCAATGGCATTTTGAGATTTTTCCGACTGATGATCGGATGATAGCGTCGATGGTGGTGTCTGCTTCTCCGGTTGCGCTTGTAAGGAATTTCCCACAATAGTGCCTGTTGTGTTCGACATTTCCTTCGTCAAGAAAACATAGATCGCAAGATAAAAGCGGGCCAGGTGGTCGGAGGATATTAATAGATGAAAGATACCAATTTTCCGGATATGAACCAGAATAAGATAGAACAAACCTGAACACTCTCACCAAGGGCTCACGTAGAAAGGAAGGATATATAGTTTGGAAGCGGAAAAGGTGCGCAGAGGATACCTAGGCAACCTTAGAAATCGCTCAGGGGAGAACCGTGGAAGAGTCGAGGCTTAGAAGTCCGAGTCAGTATGTGCAGGGGTTGGTGGATTTTTGATTGTTTACTGGATTTCCCTGAATTCCACTTTGCTGTGAGTGGCTGGGACGGCTCAAGCTAGCCTCTAAATGAGCAAAGGATCCACCGCCGATAAGAGGGAAGGCAAAACCTGACAAGCATTATAGTCCCTGTTGACAAAAGTCCCTTGGTCGAATCCCATCCAAGATTCGGTGTCCGACACTATACGTGTAGTAGGGACATTGGGGACCTAGGTGGTTTTGGCATTTTTCAACGAATCATTTAAACAGGCCATCAGCGGCTAAACTACATGGCGGCTCCACTAGGGGTATTTCTTGGTGTTGCTTGGTATTGCTTGTTCCTGCATGTGTCTCATTCGGGTACACCGCATGCCCAAAGTGTCTCGGATACGAGTCAGTCTAACTCCTTCGAGCAGGGCTAAATGAAGCCACCTATGTAGGTAGACCTCGAAGGAAGCAAATGGGGAGATGAACTCAATGGGCACAGTTTATAAATGACCTTGCACCTGCTCAGGTGCTGCCTAAAATCAGGCTTTTTTGATTCGCAGTGGGGAAACTGTGAGAGAGCAGACATTCAGGGAAATCAGCAATTGGCAAATGAAAGGCGCATATGGCCCAGTGGCAGAGTCTACCAAATCCACACTCCAAGGGGATCAGGCCCAGGTCAAGTTACGATCAGCATGCGACCGATGCTCATCCAACAGTGTCAAATGTAGTCAGGAGAGACCTCAATATCAGCCATGTCGTTCGCTAAATCTACCCTGTCAGTACAGTCGGTCATTGCGGATGGGGAAGCCTCCTCGACCTCGCCAGCGATCGAGTAAAGCTTGCTGCCACCATGACAAGGCTTTGCCAAATCTCAACCCGTCAAAGCCGGGTGCTGTTGCACCTTCAACAAACCCAGTTGCAACTCCAAAACCCAAGTCGAACGACCAATTGCTCTCTCAAGCCAACGAGACGATAAGCACACTAGTGCCCAATTGGTCGGACAACTTCGACTATCAGTCGATTTCTGAGTGATGATAATCCGACTATCCAACCACTCTCCCCCTATTTTTCCGACCTACTGGCAGACTTCACGACCGTAGCTCCAGGTCAAAATCAGCCGCCTCTACCCGACTGCCCGAACGTCCCGTCTGGTCTGTCGAAGCAAGCCGAATCGATTTCCAGGATGCTAGAATCCACACTCGATAGTGCAATGTACGAAGAGGGCCGTACTCAACATCTGAAACGTCGAAGGACTTGGAGACGCTAACTCCAACCAGCCTTTCTGGGGTCACCTTTCCAGTGGGAAGCAATTCAGACAATCACCGCGTCATTCAAGCAAGAGTCTCCCCAAGCCGAAGTCCCTCATCCTCGTCCGATCATCAGTGTATCCGCCTAGCCATGGAGACTCTGGTCTCTGTGTCAAATTTCCTCAGCCAAATCATTCGACCCTGGCCTCACCAAGCCAAACGTCGGTCACTTCCTCCAAGTCAACGGCGACGCGATGGAAGCTGCAGTGACCATCCTAGCATGGCCCTGCATTGAGAATTTCTGCCTCCTCATCATTCTAGCAATAATCCCTTGCAAAGTGCTTGCTGGGTACCAAGCCGTTGTCAACATGCCCGACCCCCCTATTCAGGTCGCAGCAGGCGAGGAAACCGTTTGTCGTCCGATAGCCGTTAGACCTTACATGCTAGATGAAAAGCAAGCTGCATGGTGATTGCCAGCTGGTTCTCGCGAAGCTGCGGGAGTTGAGTAGTTTTGTCCCAACTTATATCGACACGTTCTGCCTGGATGCCAGCAAGAACCGCCAGGGTCACTGAGGACTGGTATACCGGACCCAGGGGTCATATTCAGAGCCGATTAGGCACGACCATGGACGGGCTGCGAGAGAGATTGTCGGCCTTGGTGGGAGATGGGAAATCCAAATTCAAGTGAGAATTATGCATTTTAACTGC